CTTGCCATCACCACCTCCCCACCGGGGCCATGTGCCTCGCACGGCCCAGCCCCCCAGACAGGCCGGACATCCACGCAGTGTTTATCTCGTTTAGAATGTCTGAAAGCTCAGATCCTCGTTAACTTCACAACGCAGTCCGCCCCCCACACGTGCAGGCCATCGGGGAGCATCCACGCACTGTTCTTTCTAGGGCGAGTTCGGTAAAGAGGGATTTAGAAAATGCTCACTGATGGTCACAAGTCGTGATTCTTTTTCAGAATTCAAGGCTTTTTCTCCTTTTGTTTCTGTTTTTCAAAATAGTTCGCTTTTTTTGTTTCTTGATTTTTTTTTGTTTGTATTTAATTTTAGTGATTTTTCTTATCTTGCCTTTTAATGTAGGCAGATAGTGCAGCAAACAAATAACCACTACTAATAAAAAAAACTAATGTCACAACTATAAACATTTCATATTGTTTGTTATTTTTTAAACTGATTTTATTGGGGGTTTTCTTTACAAGGAAACAATACATAGTCAAGGCAGTGAGATCTGAAAAGATGGAGACAGAAAAATAAGGTGACCAAAATCCATGATCCTGCCCCAGTCGGGCACCAACCCAACTCCCTCCTCCTCTAGGTGGTCTCAGTGCACATGTGCACACGCATAGTCACATGCACACATGCACATTCATGTATGTATATACATTTATGCCTACGCATGCACACTCATAATTACACCTGTGTGTGCACATACATGTGCACACATGATCACACTCACACATGTATATGCTCGCTATTGCCCACTGTCACACACACTCTCGCTCATACTCACATGCACGTGTAAAGGGCTTGCACAAGCGTCTGCTGGCCTACTTGCTGTGAAGTGTGGACTAGTCGCCAAGTGATGGTGGGAGCTCCTCCGACCGTCCCTATGTTAGAGGTTAGCATGTTGCAAACCCCTGTTCTTCCAACAGCTCAAAGCCAGAATAACAGGGAGAAACATGATTAGAAACTTAAAATATGGATTTTTTTTTTTTTAGGCGCAAGGATGTTTCGAAGAGGGAAGAAGCGTCGTGCAATGTGAAGTGTGCTGTGCTGGAGGTGCTGATGCCAGAAGCCCGGTGACCTGGGAATGCTAAATTCCAAACAAAGCATTCTCTTACAAAACTGCCAGGTGGAGCCACTTGCGTTGGACCACATCTAATTTGGTAAAATTGCTTTGGCCCAAATGCCAGAAGCCTTGGCAGGAACCAGGCAGGAGGCAACCGACTGGCAGCGGCAAGGGCAGCGGAAGCATCTGAGCCAGACCCTGTCTGATGGGCCAGCCCAGGCGGGGCCACATGGGTGAGACGGGGTGAGATGATGGAACCGGGAGGCCCCAGCTGGAGGGAGGGCGTGTCCAGCAGGTGGGTGAGAGCAGCAGGGTTCTGGGCAGCACCGTGGACAGCTCCCGAGCAGCTGGTCTCCCTCCATCCTTACTTTGTTAGGGCTGGACGCCACCCCTTCAGCCCCATCCTTGGGTGGTGGACACTGGGGCCCCAGCCCACCCCGCACCCCTCAGGATCCTGCTCAGAAGAGGCCCGAGGAGGAGGCAAGTGGTCCAAGATCCCTACCCACACCCCACAAGATGGGCCCCTTACACACCCGCTCCCATCACCCACCCTGCTCGCTCACCTGCGGCCCCTCACCGTCCCCTGATATTCATTTAACGCCTCCCCTGAAGGACAGAGCCGGGGATCTGGGCTCCAGGAGGGTCTGAGGACTAAGAAGGAGAAGAGAAAATGTGATTTGTGGGAGGAAGGGAATAAAAATGGACTAACCACTTGGGAAAGGCCAGAAAGAACAAAGGAGAAATGGGGACATTCTTAACTTTCAGGGTGTCTTCTTGTGTGGCCCACTGTCGTCCTCTCCCTTCAAGTGTCTCCTCAGAGTGGCCCTTCTGATGGGCCCTGAAGGTCGCAGAAGGCGGGCCAGGCCTCAAAGCACCGGGACGAACACTGGGCACTCACCATGCAGTCACCACTCCGCCCCATGCCCAGCCTGACCCTGTGGCTTGCAGAGCTCATGGGGGGCCCACTCAGCCCTGACCAAGAGGGCCCGTGCCCGTGACCCATGAGCTTTGACGTGCCTGGAGAGCCAGCAGGGACATGCGCACACAGGCCCCAGGCAACGCCTTTCAGGTGAAACCCCTCTGAGACCCTCATTCTGAAGGGGCCCCAAAACACCTAAAGTTGTCCATTTGCCGCAAATGGCCAACGAGAAGCTGCACAAAATACCTCATTGACCTCCCCGTGGCCTTGGACCGGGGCCTGGCTTCTCCTGGGGCCCTGACAAGCACGTGACAAATGGAAAGGCCTCGTCGGAACATTCTAAGTTTTGTTAATTTTATTATTTGCTTCTCAAACTAGGCTTCACCTCAGGGCTGAATGAATTTGTTGGCATAAATCTTTGTTAGAAATGGTCTACACAAATTCAAACTGACACCGCGGAGAGGGGAGAAAGACAGCTAGTTGCCATGGCAACCGGAGACCCGGCTTTAATTCCACTCTGTGAGCCACGCATGCTGAGCGCACACGGAGGCCAGCCTCGCGTCCCGTGCCCTCCGGGGCCAGGCTGCACGCGCGCGCGCGGCAAGGTCACCTCCAGCACCAGGGGGCGTCTCCTGATTTCAGGTCTCAGAATCTCACACAATGGCTAGAAATGAGGCAACTCCAAAGCTGACTAAAATGCTCAGAAAAGACGCAAGTCCGGCCTGAGATGTCAGCGGCCAAGCAGAGGCTATTCTCGTTCCAGAGACGTTGCGTTTTTAGAGAACTCCCTGCATGCACGGGATGGGAGACAGGGAGATGGCACCTGAGCTTCCCTGAGCCATGCAGTGACACTCAGTCACTGTGCTGACCACTCCAGACCCTTGGTCTGGTCTTTGATTCCATCCACCGAGAGGCCTGCGCGCTCCCCAGACATCTCCTGTTCTCCCACCAACAGCCTGCAGAAGCCAGGAGGGGCAGAGAGAAACCCGGCTCCCAAGCACATGTCCTGGATGTGGGGACCAGGGCTCTGCCCTCCGGCCCTGTAGGGGCAGCTGGCTACTCTGTCCCCTGACCAGGTGGGGCCCACAGCACCCAGCCCCAGGCTGAGCCTCAGCGGGGCCCAGCACCCCATGGCAGAAAGCCATCGGCCACCCAGCCCTGTGTCCAAATGACTTCCCTCAGAGGGACAGATGACATCGGCTACTGAGCAAGGTCAGGCCCCTGACGTCCCAGAGGTCGCAGGTGCCTATCCTGTTGACGAACACCCACACCTGCAGTGCAAAGACTTCAGTGGGGAGTCCTGCATTCATAGAATGTGCCAGAAAGCTGACCTTTCCAAAGAGGAAGTGGAGTCCCAGGGCATTAGGGAGGCCAAGGCAGGCTGCCCACCTTACCCTCCTAACAGCCTCTTCTGTGTGTGTTCCCAGAGCCACTTCTGCGGGATTTGGGGAGCCCTGGTTCTGGTCCTGGCCCCCTGCTCTGAGGCCAGGACACATCACTGGGACAGCACACAAAGCTGTGCACAGAGCAGAGGGAACAGCTGGTGACAGCAGAGTCCCAGGTGGGTACCTCAGCACCTGTCCCCTCCTCCAAGCTGCGCAAGCCGTCCTGGGGAGCTGAGCCCCTGGTGGGCTATTCACTCCTGGCTTTCTGCCATCTCTGGGCGGGGAGCCCCTGAGGGCAGTGAGGGGTTGACCCGTTCACCTTGCACCCTGTACCTGGACAGTCTTGATGGAGGGGGCGGCAGTGGACAGGACATGAGGGCAGAAGCACCATGGGACCACCTCCGCCTGGGGGAGTCTGGGCAAAATCTCCTAGTTCAGAGTGGGTTCCCCACCTCCCTCCCTGCCCCTCTTGTCCCCAGGCCTGGGCCCCCAGGGAGCTCCAACTGCCCCACAGGCCTGGGGAACCAGCCTAGGAGGTTCCCCCCTGACACCCACTCCCTGGGCACCAGGAAAGGCCCTTCACCCCTGGGGTTCATGCCTTCATCTGAGGTTTAGGACTTATCGCAGAGTTCCACAGAGAAGCGTTGGCAGCACCCCACTCAGAGGCAGGGTACCATGAGGCCGAGGAGCCGGAGCACAGAACCCCTCTAATTCCTATATTCTTAATGACACCATTAAAATCAGGCCCCTCGGCCTGGCCGGGGTGGCTCAGTGGTTGAATGTCACCCTATGAACCAGGAGGTCACGGTTTGATTCCCTGTCAGGGCACATGCCTGAGTTGTGGGCTCGATCCCCAATGTGGGGCCTGCAGGAGGCAGCCGATCAATGATTCTCTCTCATCATTGATGTTTCTAGCTCGCTCTCCCTCTCCCTTCCTCTCTGAAATAAATAAAAATGCGTTTAAAAAAAATAAAATAAAATCAGGTTCCTCAAAATTTGAGGACAGCAGGGACCTGGGACTCCTGAGCGGGGTTACAGCCTTCTAGATTGAAGAGAAGAGTGATGGGGTCCCCTCCAGGTTCCCAGGAGCTGAGTACAGACCCGGAAGCTCGGGCGGGTCCAACTCGCTGCCGACAGGACCCCACTTCCGCCCTCCCCTGGCCCCGCTCTGTCTGGGGCTGGGGGCTAGGGGCTGGGGGCTGGGGCCTGGGGCCTGGAAGGGGCAGGGGCTGTGGGGCTGTGCACACCAGCAGGATCGCTGACTCACTAAGGGAGGACTCATTGTGGGTACACCTCTGTCTGCACATGTTTGGATTCGTGATGTTTTAACACAAGGACTATGAAAATTCCTCCCAAATCGATTTCCTGGTCACATTTCTGTTTGTGGAGCCCTCCACGAACAGAGCTTTTTTCTTTAAATAAAATCGCCAGTCCTCCTGCCTTGGTTCAGGGAGACGTTTTCAGGTGAGTTGTCCGACGCTGCTGGGAGCGAAGGCAAAGCCTGGCCGGTTGTCTCTTTAAATCGGCTCTGCAGTGTGATGGGCACGGGAAGAACCATTCCCAGCCTGCGGCAGGGAGCCGGCCACAGCGCCGCCATCCGCCTCCCCCATCCCCATGGTTACGGCTCCTGCTTCCCGCCGGTCCTCTTCCCTGGCTGTCGCCGGCGGAAGCAAGCGCAGAGGCGGCTGGCGTTCCTCGCCCGAGTTCTGGAAGCTGCGTGCTGAGAATCGCGCTGCATGTCTGCCGTCCTGGCTCTGACTCACGTCCCCGGCTGCAGTCCTGCAATCTGTTGATAACTCTGCCAGCGAGCGGGGCGCACGGGCCCCGGGAATGGAGACCTGCTCCCCTGCACGGCGAGCTCGCGGTGGCTTCTCGGCAACAGGCACTGTGCTGTTGCCCCTCCAGCTGTTTTTGCCAAAATAGGTGAGAAGTTGGGTACCGCGTCTCAGGGTCTGAGCAGTGGGTGGACCTGGGGGCCGGGAAGCGGCAGGAGGTGGGGGAGGCAAGGTGGGAGCCCGCTGCCCACAGAGCCCGTTCTCCACCGTTTCTCAGGCATCAGTGCCAACCGGGTGAGGCGATTCCTGCTCCTGGAAATGCAGATTCCCAATAACTTTGGGTTAAGCTGAGGGCACCGAGCCACAGCCAAAATCCGTGTCTGTGTGGGGGGCAAACAGCCAGCCCCTGAGTCCAGCTACATCCACCTGCCAGGGGCTGGCTGTTCTTTAGGAGATGCATTCAAGGTTTACTGGATTCTCTTGACTTAAGCTGGACAGACTTGTTATCCAGCTTGGTGAGTTTAGTTTCCTGTGCTGTGTGGCGAGCATGGGTTGCTTTTTAAATGTGCAGAAGGAAGTGCTCCCTGGAGGGCATTCTGCTGCCAGTGCCTTTGGCCAGGGCCCCTCAGGCTCCCAAGCCCAGGTGGTCCCCGGACCCTCGGCATGCCCCTGGCAGATGGAGGCTGGAGTCAGAGTCCACAGGCTGGCTGGGCTGAGAGCAGCCGAGATGGGGCAACTCTGGGAGGTGCTGGGGCTGTGGGAGGAGAGGGCGGCAGGGGGACCCTCCCCTGCCCTGACCAGGCCCTGTCTTCACAGGTGGGTGCAGCCTCTCCACCCTCACCTGCCCCACCAGAGTCGCCCTGAGGCCCGTAGCCTGGGGCTTGACCCTGTGGCGGCTGTTTGGGACCTTGACCTTCTGGACGGCCATGGAGGCTGGCGGGGAGAAAGGCGCGACATAGTTGGCTAACGGGGACACCATCTGCATCCGGGGCGCCCACCCTTCAGTGACTTCACGTGCTCATGGTGAGTCCACATGCTCAGGGGCCGGGGGGGCCACGTCGAGGGCGGCCACCCTGCGCACAGAGGCCCCAGCCAGGAAACTGAGTCGTCAGGTGGTCAGCTAGCCCGCAGCCAGGCATACGCTGTGCCTGTGCCCAAGAGTCCTGGGGGTGGGGGAGGGGGCTGGAGGCGGGGGGTGGCCATTTGTTTCCAGGCCGCCTGCCTGGCTGCTCGGGAGGATCATACTAATTAGTTGATGGCATGCCGCAATGTTGAATCATTTCATCGGTGGAGGAGACGGCCGCCCCGCGCCCCCACCCCGGTCGGCTCCAGGGCCTCTGAGCACCTTCCCTGGCCTCCAGCCCGGGCCCCTCCCACTGCAGCTCTGCCCTCCTCTTGCCTGCAGAAAGTTGGCAGGACCACAGGGGGACGTGGGTGGGCTTCAGCGGCACGTACAGCAAACACGGGGGTGTTTCTCTCGCCAGCAAAGGGGGGCGGCTGCTGTGAGCAGCCCGGGGATGTGGGGGGCTCAGCCTGCGGACGCGTGTGTGCCTCGCTGTGGCGGCTGCCAGTTTGGACTCCGGAAGGTTGATGCTGAGTGAATAATGCAGTGTGTGTGTGTGTGTGTGTGTGTGTGTGTGTGTGTGTGTGACAGCCGGCAGAGCACGTGCAGGGAATGCTGATGACCAGAGGACAGTGCAGCCAGCGGCGGCCGTGGCACTGACCCCAACAATGAGTCCCAAATGCAGACCTGGTGGTCTGCTTCCTCAGGAGTGGTCAGTCTGAGTCGCCTGTTCATTTTCTCTTCGTTAGAAATGTCCGAATGAGAGAGATGCTTTTCTCCGGAATTCAGCCTCCCTCCCAGGCTGCCACGGGCCTCGGAAGCTGGACGGACGCCAGGCACTCGCCTTTCAGACAGCCGAGAGGTTGCGTGTTTTGGGCACAGGCTGCTCCTCAGAGAGGCGGGCTGCCTGGCCCGGCCCCCAGCTTCCCACCAGCTCACTTGTTGCCCGGAGGTGCCACACCCAACATGGCTGTGGCCTCCCGGGTGGCAGCATCCCCAGCTTTCCTTCCTCAAATGTAGATCCCCATGTGCCAATGGAACCTGTCACTGGTGGAGGGCAGGTGAGCTGGCAGGTGCCCAGCACTGCCCTTCAGGGCCGCCACAGGTGACCGCTGCCTGTCTTTGCCTCCTCTCTGATGCTTCGGCCCTTCCATACACTCGCTCTCCATTTCAGGGGCGGGGTCGGCCCATGGTGCCTTGCTCTCAGCCAGAACGCCGGCCCATCCAACACTGAAAACCACCCGGTTAGCCTTGCCCACAGCGATTGTGTTTCAGCAGTTTGTTGGGGTTTTGTCTTAATAAATAACACTTACACTGGAGAGAGTTTCTGAAAGGAGAATGCCCGGCCTCACATGCAGGGGCACAGTTCAGGTGAGAGCACTTTTCTGTGTGTGTCTGAGCCTGTGGTGCAGACGGCGGCAGGCTCATCCTGTGGCTCGGGGCATCGGAGGGAAGCCTGAAGGCCCAGCAGCAGGGCGGCCTGCCCCGTCTGCCCCAGGCTGCCGCCCTCTGGCCACAAGTGCAGCTCCTGTGGGGCCCGGGCCTCCCTAACACCTGCGGGCATCAGGCTGCCTCCTGGATCCCATATTTCCTCGGCCACACACTGAAGTTCAATGGCACTGAGTTCCAGGCGTCTCTGGGCAGGCTTCCTGGGGCCACGCCTCCTTTCAGAATGGTGCCAGGAGGTGCTGCTGTCTGTCCAGCGCTCAGACAGGGTCTGAATACCCAGGTGCTGCCCCTGGGAGGCCTGCGTCTGGCACCTGAAGCCCAGGCTGCCGCCACCCCACATCTTCATCACAACTGCTAGTCCACGAAGCAGACGTGGGCTGGCCTGTCCCTGGCTGCTGCAGTTGGGATCCCAATGCAAGCAGGTTCCACGTGCTCATTACTTTGTCTCCTACAATCTTCGGTGACCTTCACCCTGAGCTAGGGGACCGCCTCTCCTCAGGGAACAAAGTGGCCGGCTTTGGAAGTAGAGTAAAAGGTTGTCCAAACCTTTGCACTGTCTGTCTCCTTCCAGAGGAGCCACAGGAGGAGCAGGGTCGGTGGCCCGGCGGAGGGCTCTGAGGTCTCAGCCCCTGCGCTCTGGGCGACAGCGGCTGCAGGAAGAGGCCTGGCATGGGTGGTCCAGCCGCCTGCTGGCGCCTCCAGTCACAGTAGCATCAGGTCGTGCGGGGGGTGAGCTCCCATCACTGACCTGCAGGTTCCAGTGGCACAAAGGCCACTCGGTCATTCGGGATGGTCCTGGCCCAGGAGGCGCCACAACAGGAGGGCTGGGGCTCTCAGGCACACCCCAGCGGAGCCCCCCACATGCTCTGAATTCAGGGCTGGAATCAGTGTCCTTGGAGCGTGCTCGGGGACGTCCCGAAGAGCCCTGAAGCCAGGACAGGGCGAGAGGCCAGTCCCGCCCCGGCCGGGCTTGGAGTAGAGACACGCGGCACGCTCACAATGCCCTTCCCCCCCCACAGTTGTACCCCACATTCAAACAAGGGAATTAAAACCCCCAAAGAGATCGGGGTAGACACCAGGCAGGGTGCTCGGGAGGCCAACAGGGAGGGAACCGCCGGTTGTCTGAGCCGAGGACCTGGGCCCAGGGCCGCTCAGGACGCTCCCAGCGCTCAGCCGCCCAGTCGCCAGTCGGTCAGCAGGTGCAGGGGGTCGCTCCCACTCCAAACGCATCCTCCAGGCCAAGCCCAGGAACCTCCCCCCCACCCCACCCCACCCCGCCCACAGGCCGGCACCTCCAGCCTCGCCTAGAAGAGCAGTGTGGATGCTGCAGACACTTGGCTTCAGTGAGTGCTCTCCATTTGTGCTTTCAATTCTGTCCGCTATTTACACTTCTAAACACTCCTGACACAGCCTCCAGTCCGCAACTGGAGTGTCACCCCCTTAAGCAGTGACGCCCAGACAGAAGGCGCGTCCCCGAGACGCTTCCCACTGTTCTCTCCGAAGCTCTCTGAAGCCGACCAGCCCACACGCCTCCAAAAGGAAACGTAACAAACATGTAAATGCAACGTCCAATTAGGGTAATTTGTGCTCCGAATGAATAAATTACTTATCTTTTTCCTCTGCCTCTCCCCCGGGAACACTTTGATGAAAGGTTGACAGATCAATAAGATGCAATTATCATTAAAAAGGCGACAAGGGACAGCAGGCGCTAATGAAATCAGCCTCAGTCGGAACAGAACCACAAGGAAGGACGTCCCACATGCCCCCGGCCTGTGGACGCCTCGCCGAGAGGACGGGGCGCGCACACGGTCTGCACACACATAGGTCTGCGTCCGCGGCTGGCACAGGCCCCTTGGGCACGTGTCACTCTCCACTAAAGGGTGATGTTTTGATCAGACAAGTGGCACGCGACCTGACTGACTCCCTCCTCCTTTCCTCTTGCTCTTAACGTCCTGATTTATTTGGTTTGCAGAACATACCAAAAGGACACACGCAACTAAGAATAATATAATGTAAAAGGAACTCATGCCTCGAGAAATGGGAAAGCAAACAAACCCACAGTCCAGGCCTGAGCTCCACAGAGAAAAGAGGCCGCCTGGGAGGATGCAAGCCGGTAGCCTCGGAGGAGACAGCTCCTGGCCCTGCAGGCCCAGAAGTGACCAGGAATCACAGCTCCCTCTGCCATGGGGGTGAGAGGGTGGGGTCCCTCATCCTCCCCTCGGGGCTCCCTAGCCTTTCTGCTGTGAGGTCGGGGCTCCGCCCATGGTTGCTGGTCCAAAGGGCACTGCTGGGGCCCTGGCCTAGGGGGACTTGTCCAGGGACGTCGGTCCAGCTCTGTTGACCACATACCAACAACCGTCAGGACCTGCTTGTGGAACGCTTGCAAAGTCGATTCCTCCAAGAGGAACTTGTACATGTGTGAACTTTAAAATATAAAGTATGTCTCCGTTTTGCATTGCCTACTTTGAATTTTAAATGTCACCTCTAAAAATGTAGAAAGGCACTGTTGAGAACTCTGATTTGGAGAAAGGAAAAAAGAGGAGGCCAAAGGGAACTGATTGTTTCTTATAAACACCCACTGTGGCTGCCGCTGCTTGGGGTCAGTCCTCAGCGCCAGGGGACCCTCAACCCTGGGCGCTCAGAGGAGGGGGAAGTGCCCGAGGGCGGGGTGACCTCCAGCCTGTGAACCCAGCCTGGGCGCACCCTCACGAAATGTCTCTGCATCTTGAGTAGTGCCGCTGCTGCAGCCGGGGTGTCCCTGTCACCTTGAGGCTGGCACCTCTTGGCCGCCTTATTCCTGAGCTCACAGTTTAGTGGGGATTTGGACAAGGGCACAGCATGTGTCCTGCTGGAGCCCATGCCAGGCTGATGGGAGTCATTGCTGTTCTGTGCATGTGCACACCTGCCCTTCAGACGTCCAGTCTATGGACATTGCGGACCAAAGCGTGGGTGCCACCGTGGTGTCCGGCCGTGGTCTGTGGAGTGTCATAGCACCCTCCCTCTGTCATGTCTGGTCATCATCTTATTCTGGGCCAGGGCACTATTTCTGGCCTCAATTGCCAACCAGGTCCCTTGGTGGTGAGGCCATGAAGAGTCCCCCTGGCATCCACTGGCTTTTATGTGAGGTCTCTCTGCTGTCAAGGCAGCAGCTGATGGGATCAGTCACGGGGAAACCCACCAAGGGCTGTCGGGGCCCCATGAAGACGGCCAGCTGGGCCGCCCCTACAGGGTGAAGCCACTCGTGGGCAGCCCATGAGGCGTGGCTCCACCTTCTGAGCAGGTCTTCCCTGGCAGGGTGCCTCCTTCTGCTGAGACCCGGCAAATGTCCCCTGATTCAGAGAATGCCACCAGGGACTTGCAGGGAGGGGCTGGGCTCGGGGAGAGCCCCCGTGGCTCTGCCACATGCACAGGTTCTCAGCCGCGTCGCTCACCTGGGTCTGCTCTGTGTTCCTTCCAGGATTTGAAGAGTGTCCTCTCCCTGCCCCAGCACCCAGGGGAGTTCCTGCACCCCGTGGTGTACGCCTGCACGGCCGTCATGCTGCTCTGCCTCCTCGCCTCCGTCATCACCTACCTCATGCACCAGAGGTGAGGCCCTACTCTGTCCTGAGACGCCCCGCCTCCCCGCCTAGAGCAAACCCCAAAGTGAGACCTCCTACCTTCACGGAGCAAGAAGTCCCTGGAAGGCACTTCACAGATGGCCGGCCAGCTGGAGCCTGCCCCGCCTGGGTGGCCCTGGGGGTGACCGAGGTTCGCCAACGGTCAGGGACAGCCATGCCCCTCCATCCCCCGTGTCCATGTTCTTATCAAATCCGGTGAAGTAAGTTCTTCCTCCAACAGCACAGCGTCTGCTCAGGCACCCGAGGGCCCATGTCCTTGGGAAGTTGGAGCAGCCGGCAGACCCTCAGGCACGTCTGCATTTTTTTTCTAGAAAGGAGACTCTAGTCAGGTCTCTTCTGAGCTGGTTTCCTCTGCCTGGGAGTGAGGAGACGACCTGGCTGTGTCCCCATCACTCGAGGATGCCCTGGGGAATGTGAGGAGGAGTGTCGGCCATGGTCAGGGGTCAGCCCACAAGGCGAGTCATGGGCAAAGCCTGGGCCGTCTCATAACCACAGAACCACCGTCATGGGAAGAGACGTGGGGTGGGAACACGGCCACGGAGGGCTGTGGCCACAGGCACAGCTGTCAGCATAGCTAGGGAATCTCAGTCGTGGCCGTAGCCAGGGATGAGGTGTGGGCACAGCCATAGGCAGCGTCCGAGTCCAGTGCCCACATGGCGACAGGGGTCGCCGTGTAGTTGGTCACTGTCACAGCCTCCTTTCAAGGTTATAAGAGATTTCTCAAAAACCCTTCCAGGCCTCGTGCTCCAGGGTGGTTTAACACCGAACCCCACCAGCCACACACTGAGGGTGGACTCCGCACGGTCTGTCCGTCTTTCCCTTGATCTGGTCCTTGGGGTGTGTCTCTCTGCCCAGCGGTCTTCCTGGTTCCCACATGGACAGACGCAGGTGAAGGGCTCACGTCCTTTCTGCTGAGGGGCAGGTTCCTGACGACACACCTGTGTTTCCCCAGCGCCATCCGGATCAGCCGCAAGGGCAGGCACACGCTCCTGAACTTCTGCCTGCACGCAGCCCTGACCTTCACCGTGTTCGCCGGGGGCATCAACCGCACCAAGTACCCCATCCTGTGCCAGGCGGTGAGTCTTCCTTCACCTGCGTCTTCCTTAGGGTTCATCACCTCTCCGGCCAAAGGGGAAGTTTGTGATCATTGTCTTGTGTATGGAATCATATTTGAGTATCTGTTCGGGTGTTTCGCATGAAAGGAATGGTCCAGCGTCCAGTGTGTCCGTGTTGCAGACCCAGGTGAGTCTAGTTACTTTGCTCCGTATTCCATAATATAAATAACTAGAGGCCCAATGCATGAAATTTGTGTGTGTGTGGCGGGGGGGGTCCCTCAGCCCAGCCTGCACCCTCTCCCAGTCTGGGAGCCCTCACTCCTTACCGCTCAGTACTCCTTACCGCTCGGCTGGCTGCTCCTTAGCGCTGCTGCGGAGGCAGGAGAGCTGCACTTGCCAGCCGTGAGCCCTGCGTTGAACATCTGCCCCCTGGTGGTCAGTGCGCATCATAGCGACCGGTCGTTCTGCCATTTGGTCGATTTACATATTGGGCTTTTAATATATAGGATGTATTTTTCACTTGGACCAATTTGCTCTGAGGCCTGTGGTGGCGACAGGCTGATGAGAAGTCCACTGTCCCACAAACAGGGCTTGTCCAGGAGCAGGGACCTGCCCTGCAGAGGCTGGTGGGCAGGAGCAGGGGACAAGCCACCCGCTTCCCCATCCAAGTAAGAATCCCAGGATGCTAATGCCAAGACTCATAATCAGGCAGCAGAAACTGTCACCAGTGGGCTGCCACGGAGTCCAGGCCACAGAGACACCTGTGGAGGCCACAGAGGAGTTTGCCCTGCCCCCTCTCGGGTAAAAAGGGAAAAACTTAAACGACCCTTCGGCTCCTGACACGGCTCGGAAAAGGCCCTTTCCCAACCCACAGAGCATCCCTCCAAGGACCACCCCTTCGGTTCTGTCACTTCGTGGGCACACCGCCCGGGCCACGTGGAGGGAGCTCTGGCAGCAGCACCCACGGGGATGTCCCGCTGCTCTCCTTACAGCCTTGGTTGCTGTGAAGCCATTCATCGATGGCTGTGCTGCCACAGCCTCGCCACCTGGGACCTGGTGCACTGGCGCTGACCTCGGTGGCTGTCTGTCCACACGAGGTGACCTGTCCACATGCACAGACTCACCCTGGGGACCCATAGGTGAGATGCTGCTCCCACAGGGGTACCTCAGGGAATAATCGGGCTGTTAGCTCTCGTTCTCCACACCCACCTGCACACAAGGGAGGCATCAGGCCCATGAGAGAAGCACCTGCTCCAGAGCCCTGACACCCCGGGCCCAGCCCCTAGGCTCCTGGTGAAAGAGACACCACTTTTCTGTGACTCTGTCAAGATGAGCCGCCCAGCACAAACGCGAACAGCACAATGAGGGGCAGGCCCGCCTCCTCTCGCCTTTCCACAGCGTGGAAACCGCTGAGGCGAGCGCCCCGGGAAATCCAATTTACGCTCCGCCTGCAATGCTACCGGGGAGCGGAGCCATCCAGACGCGAGGCACGGATTGTTACCTCTATGTCCGCACTTCTCCACGCGAGCGCCACAAGCCGGGCCCAGTGACGAGGAGCCGCCAGAATCACGGTGGTACGGCCACCCCCACCCCCTCAGAGGCCCAGTAATCATGGTACTGGGGAGCCCTTGCCCCCCCAAAATCTGGGAGCCATCTGTGTCTGCTAGCCACCCACATGGCACCCAGAGGCCTGGCCAGGGTGCACGGTAAGTGGGGGCAGATGTGACCTAGAAACATCCACAGAGGTAAGACCTGTAGAAATCCTGTTAGTGTGAGAAACACTCGATTCTCTCGTAGTGACAACCTTGGGGCCCCAGCAGAGGCAGCCAGCCCTGCGCTCCTCAGCAGATGCTGTCCTGATCTCCCCCCTACCTTGCCGGAAGGTATCAGGGCATCATTCATTCATTCACTCATTCACTCATTCATTCACAAAAATGCACTGGGTGCCTGTGGGTGCTGTGGGTGCAGCTGAAATCAAACCTACCGGTTCCCCCGCTGTGTGGACCTGCCTTCCAGTGGCGTGTAGACAGCAGTAACCTGCCCGGCGTGTCAGGGAAAACGAGATGCAGAGCAGAGGCGAGGCCAGGCTCTCCTGGCTGGGGTCCCTCCTCCACTCACCGCAGGAGACCAGGAGGCACAGGGAGAGGTGATGGCTACTTCATGTGTCCCTTTGATGGGTTCCTGGGCACCCAGACATGTCACACATGATTCTGGGTGTGTCTGGGACGGTGTTTGGGATGAGGCGAGTGGAGTGGAGGGCCGTCCGTGGTATCGGTGGCCTCGTCCAATTGCTGGGGTCTGAATAGAGTAGAAGTCTGAGTGAGAAAGACCTCGGTCTCGGGCCTTCAGATGCAGACACAGGCTGAATTACATCGCCGTTCTCCTGGGTCTCCAGCTTGCCCACTGCAGACCTGGGGCTTCTGCGGGCTCCCTAATTACATGAGCCAATTCATTATAGGCAGCCAGGCTGGCCCCCACCTTGACCAGTGACACCTACACACGACCCTGGTGCCCGACACAGGACCCTCCGGCCAGCCTTCCCTGACCAGTGTCGCTCTGGGTGACAGTGAGTGATGTATGAGAAGTGGTCCAAGCTCCGAATGGCAGAGAGAACAGCCGGTTGTCATGGCAACAAAAAATGACCATGCGCCTCATTAAAGTACAAAGTGACATCATGATCACAGACAGACGGCCAGCGTTGTCCTCACATAATAGATGTGCGTCAGGGCTGCCCTGGGCCCAGAAGCGTGGGGAGGCGGTAGGCGGCTGTCTGAGAGCCAGGGCGGCGTCCCCGTGACCTCTCCATGTGTCCAGTCTGAGTCGGTGTTTGGAAGACAGAGTTCTGCCGTCTACAGGCTCATAAAATCCCCCCACATGCGGTCAGGATGAGGCTCACCCCCACCTCCTCCTCCGCACTCACCTCCCAGCTCTGGGTGCTCCCTGCCCTCCTCGCCCCTGAGGACGTGTCTCCGTTTCTTCCCGAAAAGAAAGTCAGACTGTCCTTCAGTTGAGGGCCAGGTGACGTGACTCCCCACCCTGCATCTCCTGCTGCCGAGCTGGTCCCCTGGCTTCCCAGCGCCTCCCCCGCCTGCCAGGTGGGGTAAGGCCCTGTGCGTAGGACGCAGCTGAAGCCAATGGAGGGCAGGCCGAGGAAAAGGCTGGACTCACCCACGTGCAGGAGCCCATCCCAAACCCTAAATACAATTCTGGGATTTACCCGCCTCCTCGATGTTCTCATCAATTATTATAGAGTTTTCTCATAAGTAAAACTGAACGCTGCACTTGATAAATCATTATGATGGTGCAATGCTAGCTTTACTCAGAGAATCTCTGTGTTCCTTAAACATTTATGTCCTCTCCCATTATAGCCGTATTTTACTTGTCAGTGCGAAGTGTCAGGTTATTACTTCAAAGGTAACCTCCTTCTCTAGAACCGGGTGGAGACAGAGCGTGGATTGCGTGATTAGCTCATGCAGTAAGTGCTGGCAATGGGAGGAACCTGGCTCTGTTTCCATAGCAACAAGCAACTCCGACTGACAGGGAGCGGACTTGAGCGTCTGACCCAGAAGGTGCTGATCTCACCAGCAGTGCCAGAAACACTGGCATCTGGGAGACCCCTGCTGCGCACCACACCACCTCACCCGTGGGCTCCTGTGTGGGGAGGGCCCAGCACCTGGAGCTCTCCGAGTACCTGCCTGGGCCACACCCACCACAGGGACCCGTGCACACAGGCCCATGTGCAGGATGGTGTGCGTGCTGCTCACAGATGCCCTGTAGCCGGCCCCAGGTGGACCACACCCAGAGGCTCACGGGCTCCCAGCCGGTCCCTCTGCAGGACAGCCAAGCTGCTTTGGGCTAACATACCTGCAAGGCTTCTTTGCAGCCCAGGCATCTCCCTTGAGCTCAGAGACCCCTGTGAAGAGCAGTGTTGCTGGAACCAAGGACCCTGGGGCCTCCGGCAGCCTCGTTTCTTGTCACTGCCGAGCTGCCTCCTAGGACCCAGGGGAGCGGGAGGGCTGGGCGGCTCTGGGACGTGCAGTGGGGAGGTCAGGGAGGTCAGTGCACTGGCGGGCGGCTACTGACCTGTCTCCCCCGCCCCCCAGGTGGGCATCGTGCTGCATTACTGCACACTCTCCACCATGCTGTGGATCGCCGTGACTGCCAGGAACATCTACAAGCAGGTGACCAAGAAGGTCCCACCCTGCCCAGGCCCAGACCAGCCACCGTACTCCCAGCAGCCCCTGCTCAGGTACCTCCCATCCCCCAGGCTCCGGGAGTCCCGCACCTGATGCTGGGATCTAGGCAAAGTGGCTCACAAGGAAACTTGGGGCCCTAGGATGATGTGGCCAGGGTTTGGGGGTGCTGGGCGGAGGGTCGGGGGCAGGAGTGAGCTGGGGCTAGCTAGAGCCTGGCCAGCAGGTTTGGGCCAGTGTGTCGGTCCAGTGTTGCTGAGCTCCACGCCATGGGTGGGCCGTGGTGCACACGGCTCCAATGGGGAGTCAGTAAGTGGCCTCAGTTATTCATGGGTCTCTGAGTTAAGATACCTACTCATTCGCTGGGGAAACCGAGGCAGCTCAGTTGCTGGAATTGCTGGTTTCACGGTGACTGCGCCCCGGCCTTTCATCTGGGGCTCAGTGGCTTCGGACTCACAGCTTTCTCCACGAAGACTAATTACCGGTCTAGGCAGGTACCATCATCACGAGCCATGGAGGGCAGCCTAGGGAACGTGCGGTGATGTCAGAGTGAGACCGCGGTGGTGGAATAGCTTCGAAGTCGCGGGTGAAAGGCTTGTCTCAGGATGTCCACACACTGCAGGGGACAGCGGTGCTCACAGCAGGGACTGACTCTGCGTTCTCACACGGGAATGTCACCCCACCCCACTTACTGATCAGACTCCCTCCCCCCCACGACCTGAGACCAAGAGTCCCTGTGCCCAGGGCCAGCCCTGGCTCCTGTGCTGCCCCGCGGTGACCCCATGGCCAGTCAGCAAGTACCCCATGCTCTTTCTTCCTCCCAAGTGGCTGCACGTCCTCACCCTGTGTGTCCAAGGACGCTGTCGGGCAGTAGTTGGACTTTCATCAAGATGCAGATTCACTGGTTCTTTCTAGAAACTGTGCCCTGACAGAAGGAGGAGGCTGCCCGACCCTACGGTCAGGGGAGCTCCTGGCTGGGTTGTGCGGAGACAGGGAGTGCATGAAGCCCATGGTCCTAATGGGTCTGGGCTCCGCTAGGGGCTGTGTCAGTGGGAACAAAACAGAAACCCCACCAAGATCCAAGTGGGGTCCAATGTCACATGAGCACAGGAGAGGGGCTCTGACCTGGGGGCCCCCAAGGCTGGTGCAGACCTCCCTGCTGAGGACGTGGCTGGAGCCCAGGGGCACGTGAGGCTGGTGCAGAGGGGCCACCTCCACCAGGAAGAGATCACTGGAGGGGGCAGGAGGCTCCACACCTCTGACCACCACCCAGCGGCTGCAGCAAGAATAGCTGCCCAGGCCTCCAGCGCCCTCTGCTGTCTGAGCCTGTGCTGTACCCAGGAGCTGTGCTCAGCCCCTGTCCTGAGGGCTTGAGGACTTGGAGTGACTTGAGCTGGAATACTCAGGGAAAAAGCAGAAAAAAGGCAAGAGAGGGCCTGGTCGGAGGTGATGGAGGGCCCTGAGCGCTTCACCCTGCAGGACGCACGGCCAGGAAGGCTTGGGCCGCAGGGCAGGTCAGCACCTCTGCAGCACCCAGTGGGCAGTGGCCCGTGGGACACACTGCCCGAGTCGGGAGGGACTGAACCTGCCCAGGGCCCGGCCGCCTCTAGAGCTCCACTCGCTGGAGAACATGTGGGTCCCACAGGGACAGTCTGCAGCCATCGGGAAAGGAGAGCATGCGACAGCACTGAACGGGCCAGGGCACACTGTCCCCCAGCTCCACAGCTTAGCAATGTGGCCCCCCTCCCCCCACCCGGCTGCCAGGTGGACATCTGTGGTCTGGCCTGGGCCACGGGGCCAATGATGGCGATCACAGGCTTGAGCAGAGCGAGCCCCACCGCACTCTTGTTTAATCCTTTTCGTGAAGTCCTACGTGCCAGAGATGTGGTATCTGTGTTCATGGGGGAGAATGTCAGGGAATTTACATTTTTAATGTCCTTGCCTGGTTTGGATACCAATCTCAAACTGTGTCAGGGGGTACCCCACCCCCCTTGTTTCTGAAGGAGCCTACATAAGACCCGGCCATCCCTTCCTTAGACGTGACCCACGGGACCTGAGTCTCTCTGTTAGGTGTCTGTGGATATTGAAGTCAATCTTCTATTATACACAGAGTATTCGGACTTTCTATTTCTTGTTTCAGTTTTGGTGATTTTTGGGTGTTGGTTTTGTTTTGTTTTGTTTTGTTTTTGCCAAATCATTCACATACACTTGTGTATGATATAGAGATGCCCCTCTAATTACGATGGAGTTTCATCCTGGTAAACCCATCACACGTTGAAAATATTGTTGAACCGAAAATGCATTTAGCACACCGAACCTGTGAACAGCATAGCTTAGCTTAGCCCACCTGACGATGCTCAGAACACAAAACCCCAAGACGCTGGCAACACAGCACGCTGCCGGGAACGGGCTGTTGGTTACCTTCGCGATCACGTGGCTAACGGCAGCCTCCGCTCACCCTGCCGCTCAACATCACACCACATAGCACCAGCCAGGGAAAGATCAGAAATGCAAAGTGCAGTTCCTACTGAATGCGTTTCACTTTCACGCCATCATAAAGGTGGAAAACCGGAAGTAGAACCATCCTAAGTCGGGACCGTCTGCCCTCTGACTCCTTCGGTGCCTGTGGGACGGGTGATGGGAAACTGCCTCCTCGACGCTGCAAGTTGTTATCTCCCTTTTCTTTTCTTTCTTTCTTTCTTTCTTTCTTTCTTTCTTTCTTTCTTTCTTTCTTTCTTTCTTTTTTCTCTCTCTCTCTCTTTTCTTCATCAGCCGACTGAGGCTATGTCATTTTGTTCATGGTTTCAGGAAATGAACAACTGCTTTGGTAATTTTCACTACTTTTGTCTCTTTTTTTCCTACTGGAGGTGTAACTGACATAAAATGATTAGCTTCAGATGTAGGACATAATGGTCATGTATATTGTGATCTCCACAATAGGTCTGGTTAACATCCATCGCCCACATAGTTACTCCTTTTTCTCTTGTGATGAGAACATTGAAGATCCACTCTCTTAGCAACTGTCAGAGATACAGCACAGTGTTACTATCGTCGCTGCGCTGTACATTATATCCAGGACTTTTTTTCTTTTCTTTATCTCTGCTCCTTTCCATTTCCTTTGATTTTTTATTTTTCCGCCTTGCTGAGCTGGAATCTTAGGTCAGTGAACTTTAGACCTTCCTTTTTTCTCACAGATGCAGTCATAGCTATGAATGTCCCTCTGAATCCTGCTTTAGCTGCACCCCAGAAATCTTATATGGTATTTTCTTCCTCATTCTGTTTAAAATCGTTTCTAAATTCCCTTTTGATTTCTCCTTTGATCCATGAATTATTTACTAGCAGAAGTGCATCATTTCATTTCCAGATAGTCGTGATTTTCCTAGTTATCTTACTGTCATTAATTTGCAACTTAATTTCATGGTGATCAGAGAATATACTCTGTATGCTTTCAATCCTTTTAAATTTATTGAGATGTGTTTCTTGATGTCATCTGTCATGATGAACAGACTATGTGCACTTAAAAAGAATAAATGTTATGCATTTATTGGTTGTGATGTTCTAGAAAGAGTAATTAGGGCAAAGTGATTAATACTGTTGTTCAGATCTTGTTTCTTTACTGATTTTTTTTTCCTATTTGTTCTCTCAATTGCTAAGGAAGGGGAGTTAAAATCACCAACTATGATTTTGGAGTTGTCCGTTTTGCCCTTTAATTTTGTCCATTTTGCTTCATGTAGTTTGAATCTTTTCCTAGGCACACTCACATTCATGGTTGCCATGACTTCCAGTAAACTAACACTGACATCATTACAAAATGTCCCTCTTTATCTTTTTCTCTTAAAATCTACTTTATCTGCTATTAATGTAGCCACTCCAGCCTTCCTGGGGTCATGGTTTGTGTGGACTGCTTTTTCCATCCATTAACTTTCCACCTCTCTGTGCCTTTATATTTTAAATGCTTCTATTGTAGATGGTAAATAGCTTGCTTTTTTGTTGCTATTAATCAGTTCTGATGATCTCTGCCTTTGGAGTTTTTAGTCCATTAAAATTTAATGAAATTTTCATTTGGTTGGATTTAGATCTCCATTTCACTATTTGTTTTCTGTTTTACTTTTTGTTGTTGTTAATCCTCACCAGATGATATTTTTTCCATTTATTTCTAGACAGAGTGGAAGTGAGGGGGAGAGACAGAGAGAGAGAAAAACATCAATATGAGAAAGACACATTGATTGGTTGCATCCCACCCAGGGATCGAGCCTGCAACCAAGGTACATGCCCCTGATCAAATAGAACCCAGGACCCTTCAGTCCATGGCCGAAGCTCCAACCACTGAGCCAAACCGGCTGAGCGTTACTTCCTTTTTTTTTTTCCTTCTGTCCTTCCTTTCCTCTTCTATTTCCTCCTCTTGGATTATTTAAACATTTTTAAACTCTTTATTTTATCTCTTAGTGTTTTGCCTACTAATTTTCTGTGGTCGCTTCAGGGATTTAAATCCACGGCCTCTTCACAGCCTGTTCCGTGTGAAAATTCTACTATTTCATGTAAACTACATTAGAAACCTTGCGACTGACGGAGACCCTCTCCCCTCCCACCACCCTTAGGCTGGAGACACCGTATATATTACCCCGTGTGTGTCATAAATGCCACAGGCAGAGGTAGCATTCTTAAAAATATATATTTTATTGATTTTTTACAGAGAGGAAGGGAGAGGGATAGAGAGTTAGAAACATCGATGAGACAGAAACATCGATCAGCTGCCTCCTGCACACTCCCTACTGGGGTTGTGCCCGCAACCAAGGTACATGACCTTGACCGGAATCTGCCGGGGTCCAGCCCCAGCGGGTCCAGGGGTCCCCAAAGGTGTGGATGGAGTCGGCGAAGAAGGAATGACACAGAGACAGTGTTCAGTTGATCAGCAGCCTAGCCAGGATCTCCAGCCAGGATCTCCAGCCAAGTTCTGGTCTGGATCTCCAGCGAAGTTCTGCTTAGGACCTCCTGCCAGGGTCTGTGTCCATGTTCTCTTGCTAGGTTCTCCAGCCAGGTTCTGTAGCCATGTTCCCTTGCTAGATTCTCCAGCCAGGTTCTGTCCAGGTTCTCCAGCCAGGTTCAGTCACCAGGTTCTAGTCAGGTTCTCTTGCCAATTTCTGTAGTCAGGTTCAGTGCAGGATCTTTTGCCATGTTCTCTCCAGCGAAGTTCTTCTGTCTAGGGGAATCCTTTTCCAGGGGTTCCCAAAGGTGTGGACGCAGTCGGCGAAGACTATCCACCCTCTTCCTATGGTGGAGTCCGATCCGTCCCGAGTGCGGGGCGCTTACCTAGGGGTCCCTGTTCGGGCGCCAGATGCCGGAGTCCAGCCCCAGCGGGTCCAGGGGTTCCCAAAGGCGTAGACGGAGTTGGCGAAGTTCTTCTGTCTCTAGAGAACGTTCTGTGTAGGTTCTGTGCCTAGGTTCTGTCTCTCTTGGTTCTGTATTCTAAGTTCTGTGTTCTAAGTTCTGACTCTCTTGGTTCCGTATTCTAAGTTCTGTCTGTATTCTAAGTTCTGTCTCTCTTGGTTCCGTATTCTAAGTTCTGTCTCAGAGGTAGCATTCTTCCTTTAAACAGTCACATGTATTTTAAAGAAGTTAAGAGGAAACAAAATCTTTTCTACTTACCCTACTATTTAGCATTTTTATGTTCTTTCTTCCTCCGAGTGTCCATGGGGTACAAGAACCCTTCAGCCTGAAGGCCTTCATTTAGCATTTCTTGAAGTCAGCGGGACACTTAGTTTTATTTTTATTACAATCTGTCTTTATTTCTCCTGCGTTCTGAAGGGTGTGTTTCTGGGTATAGAATTCTGGGAGGCAAAGTCCTCAGGGGTCACCACCAGTGACCAGAGGCAGGGGCATCCTGCTCCCACCCAAGGACCTAGGACCCGTGTCAGTCTCCTCTTGGGGGACATGGCGCTGGGGCCTGGCCAGGGCCATCTCTGCAGGGGCGCAGCAGCCAGCGAGCTGGGGGTGCGGGGAGGGGTGCAGAGGAGGGGCCAGGCCCTGGCAGTGGCTGCCTGGTCAGTGGGGCTGGCGCTGCCCCTGCCTGACAGCTGCTTGGCCAGGATCCCTGGACTACCCTCCCTAACTTTGCCCTGAAGGTGATGCTGTCCTTGGGGGACCCAGTTGGGTTCAAAGGGCAGTGAGCGACCTCCTGCTCTCCGGCAGGTTCTACCTCGTCAGTGGAGGGGTTCCTTTCATCATCTGCGGAGTCACGGCCGCCACGAACATCAGGAATTACGGGACGGAGGGCGAGGAGTCGGCATAGTGAGTACAAGCACCGAGGGGCTGAGGGTGGCCCTTGACGAGGCTCCAGTTGCCCTGGCTGCAGGTGCCCAGCGGCAGCCAGCACCTTCTCTGGTCACAGACACTCATAGACGACAGACTGCCACAGCCCGGGAATGAGGCGCGGCCTTGCTGAGGCCATGCAGGGCAGGGGTCCTGGCTGCCCAGACTGTCCCCAGGTGTCCATGAGTTGCCAGCACAAAGCCTGGTCGCCCAAAGCTGTCCTCCTCCCCAACGGACCCAGTTTCCCCCTGGGGACCGAGGGCCAGTTCGTGGAGATGGGAGAGGCCTGGGGGACCAATAACACCTGGGCAGCAGGCCAAGGCCAGCAGAGTGGACCCAGCTGTGCGCAGGAGCTGGGTCAGACTCCGCAGGCCCTCCCTACCCTGTCCAGGCCAGGGAACCTCACCGACCCTCCCCACTCTCACTCCACACAGGACGCCCACCCCCAGCTCTGCAGGCTCCAGTGCCCTGGGACACTCCCCGATCTTGGCCCTCCGAAGCAGCCTGAGTGCATCAGACTGGCCCTGGTGGGTGGGATGGGGTCCCTTGCCCATCACCTGACCATGAGGCCACCCGTTGGCCATGCCCAGCAATGACTTCCACGGGCACCTCAGGTGCAGGCAGCACAGTCAGCACTGGGCTCTCCCCACAGCCAACCTGCCTGACCCCGGGAGGCCAGTCTCTCCCCCACATTCACAGCAGTGCCACACTGGGCTCGGGTCCCAGCACAGCCCTCAGCAGACCCTCGGGGTCCTGGAGCTGTCTCCCCCCGTCCCCCACACCCTCACCAGCTCCTCCTCCTCCTGCTCTCCTCCCGCAGCTGCTGGATGGCCTGGGAGCCCAGCCTGGGCGCGTTCTACGGGCCGGCGGCCTTCATCGCCCTGGTCACCTGCGTGTACTTCCTGGGCACCTACGTCCAGCTGCGGCGTCACCCGGAGCGCCGGTACGAGCTCAGGGAGCGGACGGACGAGCAGCACCGGTTGACGGGGCTGGAGGCCGGCCACAGCCCCAGGGCCCCCCCAGGCATGGCGCCCACCTGTGCCTCCCTGGCCGCCTCGCTGCTGCAGAACGAGCACTCGCTCAAGGCCCAGCTGCGGGCCACCGCCTTCACGCTCTTCCTGTTCACGGCCACGTGGACCTTCGGGGCCCTGGCCGTGTCACAGGGCCACTTCCTGGACATGGTCTTCAGCTGCCTGTACGGCGCCTTCTGCGTGACGTTGGGGCTCTTCGTGCTCATCCACCACTGCGCCAAGCGGGACGACGTGTGGCACTGCTGGTGGTCGTGCTGCCCTTCCCGCCGGGACACCCAGGCCTCGGGGCTCAGTGCCCACCACACGCTCGACGCCAATGGGGACGCACTGGGGCACGCCACCTGCCTGCAGGACTCGCCTTGTGTTGGCAAGCCACGGGGTTTTGGGCACCCGCCGGCCAGCCACTGCAAGATGACCAACCTGCAGGCCTCCCAGAGCCACGTCAGCTGCCTGTCGCCGGCCACGCCCTGCTGTGCCAAAATGCACTGTGAGCAGCTGATGGAGGACATGGCCCATGTCCACCTGCATGAGGAGGACGCGTTTGGGCACGACCTGCACCTGCACCGGTGCCTCCAGGGCAGAACTAAGCCTCGCTACTTCAGCCGGCACAGGGCGGCCGCGGCCGAGCAGGAGTACGCCTACCACATCCCGTCCAGCCTGGACGGCAGCCCCCACAGCTCACGCACAGACAGCCCCGCCAGCTCGCTCGAGGGCCCGGTGGGGAGGCACACGCTGGCCTGCTGCGCCCAGGGCGACCCCTTCCCCTTGGTCAGCCAGCCCGAGAGTGGCAACGTCAGCCCCACACTCTACGGCTGCACCCCACGGCCCGGCAGGGAGGCAGGCCGTGGCCCCGCCCACTTTGAGATGCTCCAGAGGACACAGTCCCTGCCCTTTGGGGGCCCTGGCCAGAACGGGTTGCTCAAGGGCGACGTGTGCGAAGCCGTGCCTTACGGTGCCGACAGCACAGGCAACATCCGAACGGGGCCCTGGAAGAATGAGACGACTGTGTAGCCGCCGTGCCACCCACCCCGGGCGAGCGTCAGAGCAGAGCAGGGACCCTCTCCCCCGTGAGGCCGGCAGGGTCACCAAGTGACAGAGCCGCTCAGAAGCGACTGGCACCCCCGCTGACCTCTGGTTATGAAGGACTCAAGTGGGAAGACGCTTTGGGCCACATTGCCTCCCCGAACCCCCAGGTCAGACAAGTTGTCGTGCCCACAGTCACCCCTCGTGGACCCGAAGCGCCCGTCCCCGGGCAGCCCAGCCATGCAGCAGGCAGAGGAACCGGCCTCCGTGTGGGGGCCTGCCCGCCTGTGATGGCCACGGCAGGAGGCACACTGATCTTTCTCGTGTTCAATGTGTGTGTTCAGTCTTGTTCCAGGGGCGGGCAGCCTGCTGGCCAGCCCAGTGCACTCTGAACCTGGGCCCCACGTCTGAGCCGACGCCCATGCCATCTCCACCTCAGCCCCCACCCTGAATGCAGCCCCAGCCCCGCAGGCTGAGGGCCTCACAGACGCGGGGCACCCAGCTGTGCTCTGGGAGCACGTGGCCTTCAGGGGGGTGGAGGGGGCCCCACGGCTCTGCAAAAGCCCAACTGTCCTTTAACAAATATTCCATTTCCTAAGCCAGCCGCTGTCAGGACTAGATCCCGCCCCAACATGGGAATTTGGGAAAAATAAAGTTCCCTGCCCCGCAAAGAGAAGGAGCTGGCATTTCCATGAACGTCTGGGCACAAAGCCCTGACTCAGAGGACAGAAGTGCCCCATCCCATGGCTGGGGTCAGTGGGTCCTCACAGGGGCAGAAGCCTGGATGCCCAGAAGGATGTGACGTGCGTGTGAGGCCGTGCACAACCGTCCCTCCCTTCCTCCCCTTGGAACTGTGACATGTATACACACACACACACACACACACACACCTGTGTGTGTGCGCCACACATGTACATGCCACGTGTGTGCATCACATGTTCACCCACCCGTGCACAGTACACTATCCCTGTGCGCACATCACCACCAACATGCACATGGCACATCGCGCACAGGCAGGGTAGTCAGGTGACCAGTGGTCTGCTCGGCTGTCATGGTGCGACTCGCCCGTGTGCTCTGCGGTCTAGGCGGGAGGATGTCCCCCGGAGCGGCTCCTTCCTTCGCACCCACTGGGAGAGACGAGGAGTGTGTCAGGTGCCCCAGGTCCCACGCTCAGTATCTGAGCGCGAGGAGCCTCACTTCCCGGGATTCCTGACAGTGAAGCTGTAGCTTACCACAGTGTCCGTACCTGCCACCAACCCCGTGCGTCTCACAGGCCCACCAGACAGGCAACCAGATGACCTCCGGGCGGCTCCTGTCTCCATCACTGTCTGCCTGTTCACCTGCTTCTGTTGCTGACATGAACCGAGACCCGACGCTGTGCTGTGTACACACTGTAGATGCAGAACCGTCAGGCAAAATACAGTGTTTCACATTGTTCGCCCTTCGTGAGGCTGGTTACTGGCATCCACGTGCGTCTCTGACCCTGGAGGAGGGCGGCCCACCGGCCTGCAAGGCCTTGTCTGTGCCCTGGTGCTTGGGGCAGGGCCGTTCTTCCCTGGCCCGCCCCTGTGGGGACCCAGCATCCCTCCCACCTCAGCAGCCCTGGCAGAACAGAGAGCATCTCATCATCTAAACCAACGATGCTCAGCACTAAATAAACCTCGAGGGCTTCAGGATGGACACGGCCTCCTGAGCCCAGGGGGGAGCCGTGTTGTGACATGGCCCACTGGCACGTGCTGTTTCCGGAGCACAGAAGGGCACCGCACGCTGCAGTCAGGCGCTCCGTGTGGAGTGAGCTTCCACAAGGGTGTGAATGTGCTTACATGTGTGCTGTATGTTTGTACCTTGGATAGCTGTGCACATGTGTGAGTTCATGTAGGTGTGTGTGCATTAGTGAGTGGGTGTGGTGCCGGAGTTGTATTGCGTGTATGCAGTAAGAGTGCATGTGTGTGCATGCTACATGAGAGTGTGCATGTGTGTATATGAGTGTGTGTGCTTGTGTACATGAGATGAGTGTGCATGCGTGTGTGTGCTCTTCAGAGAGTTAAAAAGTCAAAGCGGAGTGCTCTGGCCATTCGGGGGCACGTGGAGCAGGAAGGGGCATAAGAGGCGCATCCCTCAGCCATGACCCACGCTGCTGCGTCCATCTCAGCAAAAGGATGACCAACAACCATGGGGGTTGGTGACAGGATGAGTCTGTGGCCAGGAGGGAGGGGTGCTGGATGGGACTGTGGACATGCAGGCACATGTGACAGAAAGAACCACCTGAGGGACAGTCCTCCAAGGGCGCCAGGCAGCAGCCCCGCCAGGCTGTGGATCCAAAGGCGTTGCCTGATGTCACAGAGGTCACACAGCAGTTCGAGGACCAGAAACCCCTGCGCACTGACGGGGAAGGTGCAGCAAAGGGGGCCTGTCCAGAGCCCCTCTGGGTAACGGCACCCACAGTCCTCCACCATCCCTGCTGCCTTCACACCCACCAGCTGGCAGGTGTCAGCCTTGTGGTGTCCTGCCCATGGCTTCCCTCACCTGGGGTGTCCCAGGGAACCGCCGGCCGCTGCCATGTCCCCACGGTCCCCAGGGTGGAACGCATCCAGGGTAACATCGTAAATTTATTCCATCTCAAACTGCATAAATGTCGACACTGTCTCTGCACCAGCAGCAGATGACTCCTCTCATAGCTCCAGCCACACCCACGTGGTGACTTTGGGGGCCAGCCCTGGCTACCAGAGGGTCCCCACTTCCTGTGGTCGGGGGTTCAAGCATCAACTGGACTGGGGACCCATGTCCACGGTGACCTCACCCCTCACCCCTGCAGGAGCCCCCGAGTCCTGCAGAAGCACCAGGGGTCCCCAGGGAAGGCCTTGTGAGCCCGGCCAGAGCTCTGGCTCCCGGGCAGCAGCAGGTCAGTGGGCTACTGTCCTGTGTTCCCATCTCTAACTGACTGCACCCAAAGACCTTGATCATGTAAAATGAGTCAAATGGTCATTAGAAACAAAAAAAAAATAGTTTTAAAGTTATTTATTAAATATTCAATTTATTAAAACTTACATGTGTATTTGTTTCCAAAAAGTGTGATGGGGACCCTGGCTGGGTGGCTCAGTTGGCTGCAACATCGTCCCATATACCAAAAGGTTGCGGGTTCAATTCCTGGTCAGGGTGCATACCTAGGTAGTGGATTCGACCTCCAGTCAGGGCACATATGGAGGCAAAGGATAATGTTCTCTCACATCCATGCTCCTCTTTCTCTCTCTTCTCTCTCTCTCTCGCTCTCCCCCTCTCTTTTTCTCTCTCCCCCATCCTCTCTCTCTAAAGTCAATTTTTTTAAAAAGAACAATATTCTCAAGTAAGGATTTTTTTTTTAAAGAATGATGGGGGATCTATAGAAACTTTCAAGCATAAAAATATGTCACAATAGAATAAAATTCTGGGCCAAATTGGATGATTATCATGAGTTTAATGAAAAATGTCACGATGAGGATTTCCGACTAGTAAAGAAAAATGCGTTTCTATGTTTTCTGTAAATGGCTGGTGGTGGGTACCAAAACCCCTTTGGTATTTAGCTTCTTGGATACATTTAGGAGAGTGACTAACAGCTTTATTTCAAACGGTCGATATTTACACCACACCAGCTATGACATTCACTGCAATTACTGACATTTCTTTTAATTTGGATGTTGACTTCAAACTGCGCACAGGTTTTGACAGCTCTTCAAAGTGTTTTAGGGAAAATGAGAGCCGAGGCATTGAAGACCCCGCTCCATTGGCCTCACACCACCTGGCCAAGCTGAGCGCCAAGTGCACACCCCGAGACAGGAGGGAGCCCCCATCTGCAGAGAGACGGGGCTCGACAGAGAACAAGACCACGTCCTGACAGTGTCCGGGTGTGGCAAGGGGCAGAGACCAGCGTGGAGCAGCCTTTGCAGGAGACCCCATCCGTGGGGGGGCTCCTGTCCTGAACCCCGACCAGGAGGAAGGTCAGGCACTGCAGCGGAGGCAGAAGTGGCCACCCAGAGGGAGGGTCCTGCCAGAAAGAGGGGGTGGGGCAGAGAGTGAGCAGCGAAGGCCAGTCAGAAGACTGGGCACCACCTGTCATGGCCTGGAAGCCCTGCACGATTCAGACAGCACCTGAGGGAAGCATCAGGAAGAAGGCGTGCTGCTGGGTGTGTCCTGGATGCACAGGCGCGGTGCAGAGGTGGGTGCAGAGGCCAGGAGGTCATTCCAGTGTCTGCTCATGAGGCTGCGTGGCCCTGTTTGGAACTGAGCTTGCTATGAACTTTCAGTGGACTTCAGGGGCTGCCTTGTGGTGTCCCATCGGCTCTGGGAAGATTTGAGTGCCTCATCTACATGGCTCTGACCTCAAGGATCAGGCCCTCGTTCAACATTATCTATCATCTACTACGTTCGAGGCACCAGGACCCAGGGCTGCTCCCCTGGAGAAAGCTTGCTATACGAGCAGGCAGGTGTGCAAACACTCAGAAAGATGAACTAACTTCCAGAAGTTTCACAACACTCCACAAACAGGCAGACCGTGGCCACAAACTCTGAAATGAAAGCAGGTGGGTAGGTAGAAGGCGCTGCAGTGCGCCCTGCCCCAGACCCCTCCCCGCGACCCATGTGCCCTGGTCCCTGGCCACCGAGCAGCAGTCCCCTAAGTACTCTCAGGCCGCTATGGCCAGAGCTGACTCAGGTGATGTCAGTTGCCCATTTGTTCTGTATTTTACCCAAAGTGGATGCATCTTTTCCCAAGAGCTTATGTGATGTCACTGCTCCCTTAGCTATGGGTGACCTTTGCCCTGTCCCATTCAGCCCTCACCCTACTCCCTGGGCCAGCTACATGGTGAGTTGAGAAGCAGGTGACCAAGCCCATGCCCTCCTCCGGGAGGGCCCTGCAGCACACCCTTTGTGCCCGAGGCTCCCCCACTGGGCCACATCCAGGCTCCACCACCTCTCAACAAAGTAAGGTGGCAGCCCAGCCCCCCAGCCCTGCAGCAGAGGGACCCTGCAGCCAGGTCCCTCAGCTCTGTAGACCCAGGATCCAAGGTTGGGGGTGCGGCTGGAGCCCCAGAGTCCTGCAGCAGGGCTTGCCTGCCACTGTCAGCCTCCTTCTGAGACCCTATGTGGTGTCCACAGAGAGCTCAGGGACAGGAGCCCCAAGTCACACGTCTGTGAGATGCTTTTTCTCCAGTTCCTGCTGCCTCTACCCCCATTCCACTCACCCCGGCTGCTGCTCTGAACTTCCAAATATCCCAGGATGGGGGAGACTGCCCCTGATTTCTGCTCCAATTGCGCTGGGTGGGCCCAAGGATCAGCGCCTGGCACAAGGTAAGGCTGCCCAGCACCCACCTCGGCCACCAGCCTCAGGCTTCACTGCCCACCTATTTCTCCCGGGACTGGGGAGCCCCTCACATCCTTGGGTGCCATGTCCCAGGGCCCGGGGCCATAGCGATATGATCCAAAGACAGAACATTAGGAATTAATGTCCCTGCCCCTTGCACCCTCAGACTTTGGAAAACCTGTCACAAGCCCTGCCTCATTCACAACAAGGAGCATTTACGCAGTGCCTGCTGTGTGCCTGGCCAGGCGAGGCTGCGGGGACAGGGCTGGCCACATGGGGGAGCTCTCCTGTGGGAGACCTCCCCACAGCTCTGCTCTCTAAGGGCTTGGGGTAGCAGGCACCCATGTCAACCCAGGATGGTGAGGTTACCATCCACCCGTCTGTGCAAAATGTGGGTGGCGGGTATCCTGGCTCTTGGTCAGGCTGGGGGGAAGGGGGGAGAGAGAAACCTGACTCTTTGCCCAACTACAGCCCCAGCTTGGGGCAAGGCTCACCTTGGTGGACCCTAATGTGCAGTGAAGGGCTGAAGCGCGGGCCGGCTGGACTGCAAAAGGGGAGGGGTTGTCTGGTCTCTGGGCTTCTGATTCACTGGCTGGCAGGGTGCGGGTAAAGCTGTAACTGCTGGTCCCCACATGGCGTCCAGGGGACCCTAATTCGAGCAAGGGGGATTGGCCACCCTCCCGCCGCCCGGCCGGGTCCCTGCCAAGCCCGTCCCGCCGGCCTGCGCGCCTCTGCGGCCGCCACCCCAGCTGAGACTGCGGCAGCCCCGGCCCGGGCCAGCGGGGACGGGAGCGGGGATCCGACGGAGGGTCGACGACCCACACGGCGCTGTCCTTGGGGTGCGCCGCGGCCCTCGCCCCTCCTGTGCTCGGGTGGGCGCGGACCCCGGCGGCAGCCCGCGGCGCCTCTGGGAACAAATCGCCGGCCGCAGGCTTGGCCCCGCCCCTAAACGTCCCGGTCCCTCCCCCGCCGGCAGCCCCCTCCCCGCCGCGCATCCACACCCCCGCCCCCCCAAAAAAATCGGCCAACGTGCGTACGCCGGGGAGCCTAGCGCCCGACAAAGTGAGCGCGGCCTGGCGAGTGCCGGGACCCCGGTGCCGCCCCAGCCTCTGCCCGGTCCGGGCGGCACTGCGGCAGACGCGCGGGCGGGGCGCACCGAGGCCGGGCGGGCCGGGGCCGCGAGGCGGGGCGGGGCGGTGCGGGGCGCGTTGCCATGGCTCCGGGGCGCGCCTAGCGGGACCCGCTCGTGGAGCCAGCCCGGCAGACCTGGGCCCAAGGCCGGGGGGAGGGCCGAGGCGAGGCGGGCCAGGGGCGCCTGCCAGGCGCGGAACGCGGAGCCCAGCAGTGGCCGAGGCCGCAGCGTCGCCGGCGCGCTCGCAAGATGCAGGCCATGGACCCGGCCGCGGCGGATTTTTACGAAGTGGACAGCAAGGACCTAGACTTCTATGACTTCGAACCGCTCCCCACTCTGCCCGAGGACGAGGTGAGACCCCGGCCCCACGGTGGGACCCCCACCTTTCCTGGCGGAGGGTTCCGCGGAGAGTCCCCAGGGAAGGTACCTCCCACTCCCCAGGCCCCTGCGCCAGGTCTTGGGGATAGGGGGATCCCCAGCTGGTCTCAACGCCTCCAACCACCCCTAAACATTTTCTCCCGGAAGGGGCAGGACCCCTGGAATGCCGCAGGGGACAGCCATTTGGGGGCTGTCGCTGGAGTTGATGCTCTGTGGGAGGTGGGCCCTGATTATCAGGGTTGGGCAGGGGCGTGTGGGGGCACGTGGGGGGTAGAGCGCTGTTTCCTCTTTGCAGTCGACCTAGGAGGTCAGCGGGAGGTGCCGGCAGAGCCCAGTCTGGCGGGACTGTTGAGGAGCTGGGGGGCGTGGAGTGGGGGTGGGGAGTCAGGACTGAGCGCTGCTTCCTGCTCACAGAAGACAGGGCCCTCACCCAGGCCCCCGAGTGGGCCCCCACCCAAGGTGCACAGGGGTCTGTCACATGAGATTTCTGGCCGTTAACTGAATCAGATGCCCACAGGGCCAGGCTGCCTGTGACAGGCAAGCAAGCCATCACCCACTTGACTGGGGTTTGTCCCTGTGGCTCTGGCTTCCCCATAGTGTCCCACAGGCTCTGAATCAAACGAATTAACGGCTAAACAAGCCAGGCCCCTCTACATGAGAGGGGACCCCAGAGGGTGCAGCTGCTCCCAGAGAGACCCTCTTGTCTCCCACGGCTGTGGGGCCTGGGCACGGGGCCTTCCAAGCCTCCAGCAGGCAAAGGCCCGGATCCCTGGGCTTCCCTGCTCACTGTTGAGGGCCGGCGCCATGCAGCCCAGAGTCAGATGCCGTCCCTGCACATGGCTGGTGCCGATGGAGACCCTCCACGTGCCTGTGGGGGTGAATCAGACTGGCTGGTGCCTCCAGGGAAGGGAGAAGGGATTCATCACATTCCCCGGGGCCTGCCCCCCTTGGCCCAGCCCCAGCCCTTGGAGCTCAGGTTGAAGAAGCTCAGTCCTTCTTTCTGGGTAGCCGTCTGTCTCAGGAAGCCGCTGCTGGCCAGGAGGGGCCGCTGAGCCAGTGCCTGGGGGTGGGTGCTGCCCTGCTCCCCCCCTCCCCCATGGTGACCTGGATTTGGTGAGAGAAGCTGC